CCCTCTCTCTCCCCCTCTCTCTCCCTCCCCCCCTCTTCCTTCCTCTCTCTGAAATCAATAAAGATATATTTTTAAAAAACAGAAATTCAGGCTCCAGGGCCACACTTCCCTTGGTTTGAATCCCAAATTCTACAACTTACTAGTTATATGACCTTGGTCAAGTTATTCAACAACTCAGAGCTTCTATTTCTTTTTCTGTAACATAGGAAGATACTTAATAGCACTGACCTTATGGGGTCTTTGTGATGATTAAGTAAGATAAGATATAATCCCTTATTATCAACCAGGCATTGTGCTAAGTCTTCAATAAATGTTAGCACTCAATATTTAAGGTTCAAATTAATGTGACTTACTACTGTTCTGGTTAATATGTCAGTACTTCAGGGGCAGATGTGCTTCTTCCCCCAGTCTAAGTTATCACTACCTTTGGGGTTGGAATTTGCCACTGAGCAAGTAGTGGTCAAATCAAAATCACTGATCAAAGCAAAGCCCTATTTACCCTGGGTAAGTTGCATGTTATCTCTCCCACTACTTTGACGCTGGGTTCTGTGTCCTTCAGGGCTTCTTGGATTTGAGGATAGTTTTTCATCTATGAGTTTGGACAAGAAAATCAGTTCACAAAGTCAGCCTATGGGGAGTCATCGGGAACCTCCACCCCCACCCCCTTCAGTGAGCAGAATGTAAGTCCTATGTGAAAACATATTTCCCATGCAGAAGACTTTTCTATTTTAGGCAGTTTCACTTTTGAATTTCTCATTTATTTGCTAGGCTTCCTCGTGACAAAGAAGCTTCTAACAAGGAACAGCCCAAAGTGACCAACACCATGCGGAAGCTCTTTGTACCAAATAACCAGTCTGGACAACGGGAAGGTCTCATCAAACATATCCTGGCAAAACGAGAGAAAGAGTATGTCAACATTCAGACTTTCAGGTTAGTCCCTCTTGTACTACTGAAGTATAGCAGAAAATGGCCTTTTCATATTTAAGGTATTAGTTTAATTAGCTTAATTAAGAATCAGAGCACAATGGAAAGGAATGGTCAGCTGATTCAAGCCCCTGTCTCTATCCAAAATAATGCAAATGCTACAATTTCCCTAGAATTTTCTAGCTACTGATGATACTATTTCTACTAATGTTTCTATCTACTCTTAGGGAACCAGAGCAACCTCACATGTACCAGAGCAGCGATTTTTAACTGGTGTGTCACAAGAATTTTTAAAACATGCAATACTTGCTTATTTGATAAAGGACATTGATCTTTTTTCCATTAGATTGTCAAATAAAAAAATGACAACAGCCAATACAACAAAGCTGTCCAATGTGAATGAATCAAAATGGTACCTTTTTTTTTGGTCAGATTGGCAAAAATACAATATGTTTTTTGGTGTGCTGCAGAATTTTAGTAATTAATGTGTGCCATGAAATGGAAAAGGTTGAAAGTCACTGTACTAGAGAATTGTCCCCTAGCACAGTCCATAAGCAAGTGCATTTATCTATTTGGCCTGCTGAGTTTTTCCCCACCAGTATCGGAAAATTAAAGTCCACCATAACAGCTAGATCTTAACTTACTTTGGTAGTTAACTGAAGAAAGTTTTACCTAATCCTCTTGATTGGGAGGTCTGTCTTAGATTCTTTCCTCTGTATTATATTTTTCATATCACCTTTACTTGTTGATGTCTTCTTTTCTGGACCCAGTGTGTGGTGTGGCGTGGTCTGGTGTGTATTTCAGTGTACAAAGAAGTAACACTTTTCTTTGTTATTTGTGAACAGCATGTACCCTTCTATTCTAAAATTCCAGTCCCATCTGCTATCCCATTATGCCTAATTTATTCTAATTCAATCATAACTCTATCCGTATGCTAAAACCTCCAGTTCCTTATAGTCCCCATGATGCTTATATTTGTATGTAAACAGTTAAGACAGTCAGGAGTTTTTCCTTCTGCTTTCCCCTTAAAACTGTATCTGCCTCAACAGAATTTCCTACACAGACATCCTTGTAATTCTGGAAGTAAGTTTTTGGATTCAACTACAGATCCTTACAGAACAGTTATCCATATTAGACATGCTTACAGCAGGAAGATACCTCTTCCCCATTAACAAGCTCTCCCTTCAAGTGTGAGTTTGGATGGAGTTTAATTGAAAGGAAATTTGACAGAGCAATTAACTTTGTGTTTTTTAAAGAGAGACTTGGTTCCTTTCTGTAGGTTCACCTAATGTAAAACTTAGAATAAGCTAACTCCCTTTGTGTTTTACTTGTAGGCAGTTTTTCTTATGTGTGTGGCAAAACATTTGAGAAATTATGTTGGCTTTTTGTGAACATACCCTTGTATAAAAGTGATGAGAGAACTTCCATTGGTTCATTCTTGACCTTTGTTTTCACTTTTTTTCTTTTGGTATTATGTATTAGATTTTTTGTTGGGACTTGGAACGTGAATGGCCAGTCTCCAGATAGTGGATTAGAACCTTGGCTGAACTGTGATCCGAATCCTCCTGATATCTACTGCATTGGGTAAAGAACATGTCTGGACTTTCCTTTTGGCTATATGTTTGGTGTTAGTTTATGTGACATTTTGCCTTCCTTTTTTAAAAATACTATTTGATAAAAACCTGCTGTAGAGTCTAAGTGAGAGTTACTTGTGGGCCAAAATTGTGAGATTAGAAATGAACAGATACCTAAAATGGTATAAGGAAGCATCTGGTCCTCTTGACTAAACACAAAGAAAACTATATTCTTCACAGAAACTGAGACATGGGGTCAATTCTAACAGTGACTATTCCTAGGATATATAAGCAAAGCTCTACTGTTGTCCCTTGTGGAGGTTTTTGTGTTTATATCTTGCATAGTCTGTGCATATACTTATGAGGAGTCTTTTGAAAAGAAGACTACTTATTCTTACAGATCACCTGGGTCAACAGAGCAGTTCTATAAAATTTCTCTCCCATTTCTTTTTTCACCTAATGCCTCAAAATGGGTCAGGAGGTAGTCGGATATAATTATGGGATACATATAGATTTCACATCCTTTTGCTTCTCAGATTCCAAGAGCTGGACTTGAGCACAGAAGCCTTTTTCTACTTTGAATCCATGAAGGAACAAGAATGGTCCTTAGCTGTAGAAAGGGCTTTGCATTCCCAGGCCAAGTATAAGAAAGTAAGTCACATTTAATTATCTTTTTAGTATGTGACTAAATAGAACTGCCTAGAATTTATTGTTATGTATACCTTGTTCCAAAAGAATGATTTAATTGAATTTTTTCTCATGTCTAATACTAGAATAGGGTACACTAATCCTTTTTATAACTATCTCCTAGAAAAAAATTCTCTGAGCTTTCTGATCCTATATTTTCATTGCTCAGGTAGCTTTTAGGAGAAAAAAAGAATTTTGTTCTTATAACAATAATTAACTCAAAATAATTACATATAAGGTCACTGATTTGTGTAGTAAGAATTTAAGGTTGAAATTGTTCACTGACATTGTCAGAAATGGATGCTTTACAGAAAAGCAGTTTGAAGCGTGCAGTGCACAGGGTATGCTTTAGAATTAGAGCAAGAATACAAGTGGTGTGGTATTTAAATGAGTTCTAAACTTGGTTGTAAATCAAGAGTACAGCTGACTTTAGCAAGGTGTGCCAATTTGTTGGTCTTCAGAAGGCACAAGGTAGAGGCTACCAGAAGAGCTATTTTAATTGCAGGGCTAGCACACTAAGACCTTTAAAAGGAGTCATCTGCCTGAGTAATTTTTATCTGTATCTTCTAATAGTTGATATAGGTAATAAAAATTCTGATGATGTTATTCCTCTCATATAGGTCCCTGCCTAATACATATTTCAGACATATGTCTAGCTGAGGTTCACAGACTTAAGATAATCAAAATAAAAAGGAAATTGGAAATCGGAAACTAGGAAGGAGGGCAAAAGGAACAAACTGGGATAGGGGCTTTCTCTTAACTATTTGAATTTTTAATATGCCCTATTCCTGATAGGCTAAAAAAGTGGTTAAAATAATGGCTCTAGAGCTGAGTGCACTCATTGTCCCCCAAAGACTCTTACTGGTCAGAGCCAGATTAGAGCTTCCCAAGAGAAATTTTGTTTCCTCTTTATAGGGGTCCACTGAGACATTAGATGATTTGGATTCATATTTGGGTATTTGTTATGTCTTCTTGGTGGAAAATTAGTTGTGTGAAGTTAGATGTGTGGTATCTAAAAAGAGTGGTGTTATCATGAACCTTTTCTAACTCCTTGGATCTCATAGGTTCAACTAGTTCGCCTTGTTGGGATGATGCTCCTGATATATGCCAGAAAGGATCAGTGGCAATATATCCGTGATGTTGCTACAGAAACAGTTGGAACCGGAGTCATGGGAAAAATGGTGAGTTCCTTTGGAAATGAGCTTGATTATTATTTACGTCCCTGTGAAGTTCATTTGCTATTTGTATCTTTGTACTAACTAAACAATTACTCTTGCCAACAGGGAAACAAAGGAGGGGTAGCTGTGAGATTTGTATTTCACAACACTACATTTTGCATTGTCAATTCCCACCTGGCTGCCCATGTGGAGGACTTTGAGAGAAGGAATCAAGATTATAAGGACATCTGTGCACGAATGAGTTTTGTGGTCCCAAATCAGGCCCTCCCGCAGCTGAACATCATGAAACATGAGTGAGTGGTTAAGTCTCCTTTAGCCTTAGAATAGTGGGGCTGAGAAAAGAATAAACATAGTGAGAAACTGTAGAACCATGAAGAGTAAGGGATTACCATTTAGGGATGGGGGTCACAAAGAAGAGAGGGTTTGGAGGAATAGCAGATTCATTGAGGCAGAGAAATTAGATGCTATCAGAGGAAAGGTTAGTTCTGTTGGCATCCAGAGAAACACAGGAGGGGTCTGTCGGACTCAGTTTTTATTGTTTTTTAATTATAAGATAGAAATGTTTATTGTAAATGTAATAAAAGATAAAATTAAAAGTAAAAATTCCTGATTTCTCATCCTCTACTCTCCCCAGCCAACCCCTCTCTCCAAAGGAAACCACTACTAACAGTTTGGTGTGTATCCTTCTAGGTCCATGCTGTCTAGTATGACAGCCAGTGGCCATGGGTGGCTCAGGTCCTGGAAAGTGCTAGCTGAACTGAGATGTGCTTTAAGCATAAATTATACAGTGGATTTCAGAGACTTGGGAAAACATGTGAAATATCTAAAATTTTTAGTATTAATTACATGTTGAAATGATAATAATTTGTATATATTGAGCTAAATGGAATTTATTGTTAAAGTTATTTTCACTTGTTTCTTTTACTTTTTAAAAAAAATATATCTTTATTGATTTCAGAGAGAGGAAAGGAGAGGGAGAGAGAGAGAGAAACATCAATGATGAGAGAGTCATTGATCGGCTGCCTCCTGCACGCCCCCAACTGGGCATCGAGCCCGCAACCCGGGCATGTGCCCTGACCTGGAATCGAACCCCGATTGCCTGGATCCTAGGTTAGATGCTCAACCGCTGAGCCACGCCCGACCGGGCTTCTTTTACTTTTTAAATGCAGCGACTAGAAAATTTACAATTACATTTGTGATGTGCACTGTATTTTGAGTAGTGCTGTTCTAGACTTTTCTGTGCACATACACACACACATACTTATTATATGGGACTGTATTATCCTCTTTATTGTGGGTCTCTTTTCAAGTCAGTATATATAGATCTACAGTGTTCTTTTAATAGCTGTGAATCATTAAGAATAGGGCTGGTGGAGATTTAAAGACCCCAATGAATCAGTATGAGAGAGAGGTTAGTGAAGAATGGGACTTAATAAGGATAGAAATAGAAATCAGTTGAGGAATGGATTGGGTGGTAGAAAATGATTAGTTGTAAAGAAATTAATACTGGTAATTGAAATTCTGAGAGGGTGATGTGGTTTAGAAAAAGTGGTTTGAGATGGGAATTGTAGGAAAACAGAAGATAACCTCAGGGTATTAGAATCAATAGAGAGAGGGGTAATTGCGGAACGAGTAGGGAAGGAAGGATAGTGATGTTGGCTTGTTTCCATATTGTCCCAACAGTTAGGATCAGATGAAATTCTGTTTCACAGGGGTAAAGTCAAGGCCTTGACATTAATGGTCATAAAGTTGCTCTGAAGTTCCATACATTTATTTCCCCAGGATTCCAGAAATTTCGTGTTGCACTTAAGATTGGCAAAGAGACTCATTGAGTACTTGAGAAAGCTCACAAGAGAATCCATTTTGGTATGGTTATTTCAAGGTCTCACCTGTGAGGTTCTCAGCACATCTAGGGCCCTGTTGGTGTGATTGGGAGCCTAAAGATCCCCTGGGAGCCTGTAGATCTCAACATATTCCAGCCTCCTTTCTGCCTGGGTTTGGAGTGCAAATCTGGTGCAGGGGTAGACAAATTGGGTGCAGCAGAGACCCCTGGACCCACTTTTCCTAGTGAACCCTGCCTGGGACCACGCAGACCTTAGTGGAGAGCCTGCAGAATGTCAGGGCTCATAGAGGCAGAAAACATTCAGATTCTCTTCCCCTAGAGACCTGGCAAGCAGCCAGGCAAAATTTTGAAGCTAGTCCAGCAAATAAACTACATACTTCTCTCAGGCAGTTAACTCCTTGGCTTCTGAATCCCATACATACACTGTATTATTTCCCCATCTTTGTTCTTCATGTTTCGAATGCCTCCCCTCCCGCCTATTTTATAATCCCTAGTCCCTCTCAGGTGTTGATAGTGTTTGCCCCCAAAGGACAGTTACAGCTTCAACCCCTTGTCAGATATTGATAAACAAATCCTTATCAATTAATCTACCCATATTTCTTCTCTTCGTTCTCGGATTGACTTTTATGCTAATTATGACTACTTCTGTTCATATGTTTCTTGATCCTCAGTGTTGTCATCTGGTTGGGAGATTTGAACTACAGACTTTGCATGCCTGATGCCAATGAAGTAAAAAATCTTATACACAGGAATGACCTTACAAGACTTCTCAAATTTGACCAGGTAAGTAAATTTTCACTTTATAGATGGTTTATAAAATTGTTAGTTTTATGAGACAGACTTGTGAGGTGTGTCTTACTCTAGGAATAGTTGGAAAGGTCTCATTGTCTTGGGAAACTGTGTAACTAGTGATGCAGTGAATACACACAAGGTTTATAGTGCTTTTATTAAGCACTTAGATGGCAGGAGGGGAGATAGTGTTAAAAAATAAATATAAGGTTATTCATTAATTCTTTATCAAGAAGAGATTTGTGTCAATGAGTTGGAGGATGGGTGGGATGAATTAGAGAACACTTCCTGGAGGAAGTGGGCCTTCAGCCATGTTGATGTGGTTTGGCAGATGGAACAGGGAAAGCTGCTCTATGATTATTTGGCAGGCTCAGCAATAGTTTGAAGGTAAAAGACGGAGGCCCTGTAAGGGAATTGGGAAGCACAGAAGAGAAGTTGGGGACAAATAACACAGGCTGTGGTTTAGTGGGAACTGATTGAGAAGTTGGGTCTAGCTGGGTTATAGATGTTAAAACCTGTGGGGAAAGGATTGATTCGGTAACATTTATATAACACTTGATATCCCAGAACCTAGTTTTCTGTAACTTTGCCTTGGAACCTAGCACATGACTTGAATTTCTGTTTCAGCTTATGAATTCTGGATGCTAAAAGTGAATGCTTCTTATTAAGGGAAGAAAATGTTTCAACTTGAATTTTCTAAAAATACGTTTTTATTGATTTTTAGAGAAAGAGGAAGGGAGAGGGATAGAGAGATAGAAACATCTGTGTGAGAGCAATACATCAATTGGCTGCCTCCCGCACACCCCGTACTGGGGACGGAGCCGCAACCCGGGCATGTGCCCTGACCAAGAATCTAACTGGTGGCCTCCTGGTTCACAGGTCTATGCTCAACCACTAAGCAACACCAGCTGGGCTCGACTTGATTTGAATACCTTTAAGTCCTTCCATGAGACTTTTGACCTTACATAGTCAAATTTCAGGTGTTCTGCAGTAGAATGGTTTTTATAGTGAGTCTGTCTTGGCTGTGTCTTCCCACTCACTGAGGTTGGCTGGCTAATTTCTTTGCATGGCTTCCTCTATTCTGCCTCCAAAGAGGGCACAGTTGGAACAAATTCTTAGTCTTAATGTAATTCTGGTAAAATATTTAAGTGAGGATAACTTTCAAAACAGTCTGTAGCTCTTCACTGAATTTGACTTTTGGAATTATCCATTCAAAATTTGTGCGTTTTGTTTTTGTTTTTAAGTCAAATTGTGCTAGTTGGTTCTTGTCCAACTTCAGGGAACATAGGATTATTCAGATTTCATTTTTCCATTTTACCTGACCACTATTACCAGTGAATAATTAGCAATGTGCTCAAATGAGCATCCTATCTGTTGGTGAGTTTGGGTATTATGGAAATGGTGTGATTTAATTGATAAGGTACAGAAATTTTTTTTATATACTCTGACAATTGCAAAGGCTGTGGAACTATCTTCTTAGAAATGGCCAATCAACCCAGTTGTCACTTATATTAAGGTGGTGTTACCCTGCTTATGTGATACTTCTTTCTATTTGCAGCTAAATATTCAGCGCACACAGAAAAAAGCTTTTGCTGACTTCACTGAAGGGGAAATCAGGTTTATCCCCACTTATAAGTATGACTCCAAAACAGACCGATGGGATTCCAGGTAAAGTAGCAAGAACCTCCTCATGGAATAGGTTAAGGTCTGATCTTATTTCTGTCCCTCCATATTAGTGAAGGGCTAGAAATTTTTTAGGTCATGCCAGAAGCAGGTAGAATGGCTCAGTGCTATTACAGAAGAGTTTTTAATTCACGTGTACTCAAAGGTGAGCATATCTTTAAAAAGTTTAACTTTTATATCAAAGCTATTGAAGTTTTATGGGCTGTCTGCAGTACCTTATTTCTGTCACCCCAGCAGACTTGCTTATATTTTGGCCTTCCTGGTTTCACCCCTATTTCCTTACCTATTGTCCTGTTCTATTTTTTTCCAAACTACTTCTTAACTATTTGACTCAAGACACCAGAAGATAAAACAAAGAGTCATGAAAGTTCTTCCACTCAGTGGTTCTCCATCCTGAGTACACATTAGAGTTTCTTGGGGAACTTTGAAAAATACTGATGTCTGGGCCCAACATCTGCAGTTGCCAGAGAAAGCTGAGACTCACTGTCTGGGGTCCTTTGTTTCCTAATTACCCCTAGTAAAGATTCATTGTCAGTACATTTCTGGTAACTGTTTGTCTTCTACCTATTATCTATTTCTTTGTTTCCTATGGTTTCCTAGCTGGCTGAGCCCCTGGGCATATTCAGCTTCTTTAGACTCAGAGAGCACTAGGATGGGGTAGGAGGAGTCTGTGCTCCACAGGAGCTGGTCAGAAAGTGAAAAGTGACACTGACAGAAGATCTGTATACTTGGCCTTGTTTCTTCCACTCACCTGACTTGAGAGTCAACTGAAGAGCCACTGATAAGAACTTATTTGTGTCACCTTCTGGATCAGGTGTACAAGATGTTGCTTATTTTAATAGATGAATGGGCTTTTCCCCTACTCTTGGTATTCTATGGGCCCTTAAGTGTTCAGACTTGCATGCTTAGATGTTACTTCATTTCTATTAGAAGAAGCTAGACTTATTCATGAAAATCTAGGTTTAAAGGAGAAATCCAATTACTCATCTCCAGAGATTAAGCCCAGTCTAGGAATATAGGACTGGATTTTTAGATTTTATTAGTTGTCTCTCTGTTGTGAAGTATCATTGCAGTTTATAGAGCAGAGGAAGAGGACATACTCTGTATATAATCCTGACCTGAGGATATTTAAAAAGGTACTATCATACTTCCCCCAGGACAGTGTTGTTGAAGATGCAATCCTCGTCTTAGGAGCACTGTGTATTCATTCATTCGGTAGGTGTTCATTCATTAGATAGGTGTCCTTTGCAACAGGTACTGTACCTAGGGGCTGGGAATTCAGTGGCAAACAAGCAGACACAGTCCCTTCACAGAGCATGCAATATAGTAGGGATGATAATAGTTGGGGTTGTGAAGGAAGGAGACGTATAATAACAAGAGTGCCTAACCCAGGTTTGCACCAGTGTGGTAGGTATTACATTCTTGTGTGGTATGTTCTCATTATAATTCCTTTCTTTATTTGCAGTGGGAAATGTCGGGTTCCAGCCTGGTGTGACCGAATTCTTTGGAGAGGAACAAATGTTAATCAGCTTCATTACCGGAGTCACATGGAACTGAAAACCAGTGACCACAAGCCTGTTAGCGCCCTCTTCCATATTGGGGTAAACACATGTTTGTTCATTCATTTGTTTGTGTGTTAAGGATCTATTCTTAGAGCATTATTTAGACTCAGAGCAGATCGGTATTTCAGTGAGCCATAAATGTTTCCATAACCAAACAGTCATTTGCAGCATTGAGAAGTTGGTACCCTCAACCCTCCTAAATGCTGTCTCTGTGGCTTTTATGCTCCAGGCCTTTTAGTGGTACAGATGTGTTTCATGCTGCATAATGGTGAGTTAGTAACTTTAGCCTCCTAAAGTCCTTACACTTAAAAAAGAGAGGCTAGGTTTCAAAGGATGAGTAGCTTTTCTTCAGATAAATAGTAAGGAGCTGAAGCATCAGGAGAGAGGTTCCAGGTGGAGGGGTGGGGACAGCAGGAGCAAAAGCAGACTGGTCAGAGTACAACCAAATTTGTATATACCTTAAGAAGCGTATTGTCAGCCCTACAGTGAAGTCTTTCCATCCAGGAATACAGGTTTTACATTTTAAAAAAACTCCGTTATACCCTGCGCTGGATTAAATGACCAGTTACTTAATTTTTTTGGTCTCTGTTGTGAGTAAAGCTTTTGTTTTTACATTGTATATTCTGTGTGTTATTAGTGTGCAGGTTATATCTTGGGATCGTGTTGATTTATTACAGCTAGTACATTTAGATTATTTCTTGTAGACTTTTCAGACCTGCGGTCATGTAATCTGTCAGAATCTGTATAGTACAGTGCTTGATAGAATGGACTTTATAACTACACTCTTAGATTTGCTTCCCAGCTCAACCACTTTCTGTGTAACCATGGAGAATTTATGTAACAGCCCCGTGCCTCAGTTTAATCCTCTACAAAATGGGGATAAAATAGTATGTACTTATAATACGGATTAATGAAGTAAGACATGCCAGCAGCATAGGAGGATAGTTTCTTTCCTCTGTGTATATGTTGATTTGGGGGACTTCTGAGATAGGTTATCACTAACATATCTTATCCTACTCCTTCCTTACAGGGGAATGAATTTGAAGTGTTTCTTTTATGTAAAAAGTTCGTTCTTGATCTTAAAATAGATTCTAGATTTTATTGAGGCAATTATGACTTGACTTTTGCGCATTTTGAAAATTTAAAATAATAATAGTAAATGTTCCTCAAATAGTAGCTAGTGTATGCCAGAGACTGTGCAAGGCAATTTACACACATCTCATTTACTCCTTCCAGTAATGCTTTGAGTTAAATATTTCTCATTTAACAGATGAGCCCATGGAGAACCAATGCATTTAAATAACTTCTTTAAGAGCATTCAGCTAGAAGGATTGCTGAGATTAAAATCTTAACTCTGTTTAACTCCCAAGCCTATAGATGTTCTTTCCAGTACCCCACAATACCTCTATAGTCCTAAAGAACTTACTGACTAGATATGCCTTCAGATATTACTTTTAGCCCACCTAATTTCTAGTTTGTACTTGTGGGCTGCCCTGTTTCATTATTTGAGTTTCATAATCTATTTTTTAAAGGACGTTTTTCCGGAAACACTAACCTTTCTGGTTTAATCAGTTATGCTTGGTATTTTTGTATTTCCTTTCAGAACCTTGGATTATTTGTAATACTCCATACATATTAATCCAGAGCTCCCAGCAGGATATTTAAAATTTTTTCATGCTTTCTGTATATTTTTTGTGTATCTTTAATAAAGGTCTATCTTTCTAGTTTTTAATACTTTTAAAATTACACAGGAATTCAAAAGTGCATATCTTTAAATTTAAAAATACTTAAACAAAATTTATAGATAAGGCTGAAGATCTTCAATTCCTGTTCTATCCCCTGTTCCCCACCCCCCCATTTTTATCTTTATTGATTTCAGGGAGAGGAAGGGAAAGGGAGAGGGGGAGAAAGAGAGAAACATCAGTGATGAGAGAGTTGTCATTGATCGGCTCCCTCCTACATGCCCCAGACTGGGGATGGAGCCTGCAACCCTGAGCATATGCCCCAACCAGGAATTGAACCTCGATCTCCTGGATCCTAGGTCAATGCTCAACCGCCAAGCCACGCCCGACTGGGCCCCTATTACTCCCTTTGACCAAACCCCCACTCTGCAGCTAGGCCAACTACCCTTATGCATTTATATCTTTCTAGACCAGCACTGTTCAATAGGTCTTTCTGTGATAATGGAAATGTTCTAGATCTATCCTGTCCAGTACAGTAGCTACCAGCTGCAGGCAGCTATTGATCACTTGAAGTGTGGCTAGTGTGACTTAGAGAACTGAATTTTCAACTCTCTTTACTTCAAAGTAATTTAAAGGTCCCTATGTGGCAACTGGCTATTATATTGGACAACACAGTTCTAGACCTTTGCATATGTTTTTCTATTTACCCACAGACAATATAGTATTGTTTTGTGTGTTGGTGTGTCTATAGCATAAATGGTCTCATATTGTATGTGTTGGCCTGCAAGTTGCTTTTTTTTAAAATTCAGTGGTGTGTTTTGGAGAGCTATCCATGTTATTGCATAAAGATCTAGCTCATTGTACTTTCTTCTTAATTCCTAATTTTGTCAATAATTTCCTTTTCTGAAATGGATTTATCAGGCAGTGACATTCTATGGTGTTTTCCCGAAACTTCATTATCCTTAAAGTGCCATTATGGGCTGTGATCATGATAACTCACTGTGAAAATCTTTGATTTTATTGAGTAACTACCCCCTATTTTGGACTCTTAGGCATGTTATGATTAGAGGCTTTAAAAACAACATTATATTTTTACCACCATTGGCATCAATAACTGTTAACAAACGGACCAAGTACTCAGTGGCTGATTAACTCCAGGAGACTTGCTGTGGGCTGGCTGAGATTAAGCTGAGATAGGGTTCCCACCCTCACACTTGGTAATGGGATCTGTTGCATGGGTTCTCAGACTTTGGTGGACATAAGAATTGCCTGGAGAGCTTTAAAAATGAAGATGCATGGACCCCAGACCCAGAGATTTTGATTAATAGGCCGAGGTATCTGCATTTTTAAAACCTACCCGAGTTGATCCTGTTGTATATATGGTATTTTGGAAAGGTATCACTAGAAGCCCAGGTATCACCTCTGGTATTAACTGTGGCAGTGAGCAGCTTAGTTGATCTTTTTTATCATGATGTTGTCAACTATAAGAACAAGAATCCTTGCTTTGGTAGCCTCACAGGTTGTGAAAATAAGATGACATGTAAAATATTTTTTGAAATAAAAAGCTGCAAAGTTTTGTAAAAGTATTAAAAAGTATAACATTCCTAAAAAAAGTATAATATTCCTTTTAACCTGGCACTGTAGTATGGACTCTGGTGACACTAGTGATTGCTTGCTCCCTGGTTGTCAAGTGTTACGGTTCAGATATGTAAAAACCTCCCCAGTCTTTGAGATGTTTGCTCAACTTCGATATTTTTATTTTCCACATTTGCTTTACAACCTCTACTGCCTTCATATTGAATTTGTGAAGTTTTCTATCCTAAAAAGAAACTGCTATCTTAATACATTAAAATGCTGTTTTAATTATGTTCATTTTTGGCATTGATTTGTACAAAGTTTTAATATTGAAAAAAAACAGCTATATCAGGAAGCTGAAAGTGCTGTGTCAGACAGGAGGATTTTTGATCTCTTGGTCAGGATGACTCGTTTGTTATCATGCTTTTAGTCTAATCTAAGACATTTTGGGTCAGTTGTTTTCTAAAATGGCCATAGGCTCCATTTACTAACATCTTTATCATTATGTATAATCTGAGTTTAACTATAATTCTTGGCATTGTGCATAGCAGCTAATATCATTTTTTCTGCTATTTCAAAACTTTTTATTATCATTGTTAGAAACAATAATAGGTATGTTTTGACACTCATTTTGTACAGTGCAGGAAATCACTTTACAAAATCATCACATTTTCTCCACCACCAAATAACTTAACCATGGAAAAAGAAAATATTCTTTTCAAATATTTATTATTATTGCCAAGCTTCTTAGCACAGAGGTTTCACTTTTCCAGAAAGTTAAGCAGTTAACCTTACCTTTATCTTAAAGTGTGTGATTCTGTAATGCTTATTTTAATTTATGTTTGCTTTAGTGACCTTTTAAAATTTGTTAGATTCTTAGAGATATTTGAGAGCCCGTAAGACTAAAATAAGGGCCTGTTTTCTCTCAGGTAAAAGTTTTGGATGGAGTGAGATATCAGAGAATGTTTGAGGATGTTGTTTGAACCACAGTTTATTTTAAATGATTGCCGTAGTGACCAGTTTTGTTAGGTAATCTCAAAAGAAAATGAGCTAGGAGCATTTAAGACTGAAAAGAGGGTTGGTTTTCTTTCAGGTGAAGGTCGTTGATGAAAGGAGGTATCGGAAAGTGTTTGAAGATATTGTACGCATCATGGACAGAATGGAGAATGACTTCCTTCCCTCTTTAGAACTCAGCAGGAGGGAGGTGAGCAGACATACATGGCAGCCTCTTCTGCTGCCCATCGTGGTTAGCACAGGGAAAACCATGTGACTCAGAGGACGCAACACAGCCAAGTGGTGAAGACAGGATCTGCTGGGGTCAGACCGCCTACATTCCATTCCCAGCGCTGCCGTTTAGTAGATTTGTGACCACAGGTGACTATGTTACCTGTTCAGAGCCGCAGTTTCCTTTTCTGGATAAAGGGGTAGTTTTGAGGATTACACAAATTAATACATGTGAAGCTCTTAAAACAGCGCCTGGCATAAAATAAGCCCTCAGATTTTAGCTACTCTTATTTAATGTTTTAGAATTGCTGGCTAATTCATTTCTCAAGAACCAGGACTTGGTCATGGGATGAATGCCCTGACCCAAGGTTGGGTTGTCCTGTTAGGATCCCAGGAAAAATCAGAGTAGCCTAGAGAAGTAGCAACAACTGCCTAACTCCTCTCTGCTGGTGTGAGTATAATCACATGTGAGAGGGGATAGTGTCCTGCTGGCTCAGTTGGTGAGTGTATACGGCAGTTGCACAGCTGGTTAATAATTACCTTGTTCTTTACTCATATTTTCTATGGCATAATCCAACTGACTGACTTCCCCTACTAGTGATGCATGTTTGTGTCTGTCTGTTCTTCCCCAGTTTGTGTTTGCGAATGTGAAGTTTCGGCAACTACAAAAGGAGAAGTTCCGTATCATCAACAATGGACAGGTTCCCTGCCATTTTTCTTTCATCCCTAAGCTTAATGACACCCAGTACTGCAAGCCATGGCTTCGGGCTGAACCTTATCAGGGCTACTTGGAGCCAAGTGAGTTTTTCCTTTACCGTTGTCTCTGCTTGTGATATGCCATCTCCGTATGACTTCCTTACCCCCGCCCTTTGTTTAACTTCTTGTTTTCTAACCACGTGTCTCTTACCTTCACTGTCGCCATATGGGGAATACCTCTTTTGCGTGTCCAGTCCCCTGCTTTGTCCCTTGATGGTTTTTTAGAGGACACTTCTTCTGTTAGTTCTCATCCCCTTTCTGTTTTTCCATTGGAAGTTTCTGTTACCATGTGTCATCTCTTACATTTCAGATGAGACCGTGGACATTTCCCTTGATGTGTATGTCAGCAAAGATTCTGTGACCATCCTGAACTCAGGGGAAGATAAAATTGAAGATATTCTTGTCCTTCACTTGGATCGAGGCAAAGATTACTTTTTGACCATCAGTGGAAATTACCTCCCAAGTTGTTTTGGTACATCCTTAGAGGCTTTGTGCCGAATGAAGAGACCAATCCGAGAAGTTCCTGTTACCAAACTCATAGACTTGGTAAGAAAACATTTTAAGACATGAACCTCCTTTAAACATTTTCTTCACAATTCTCAAGTGATGTCCTCATTGTCTCTACTTTCTTTTTTGTTGGGGGGTGGGATTGGGTGATGGGGGACTGCCATGTGATAATTAAGAATAAGACTGTCACTCTAGCACTATTTTAATTAGATTAAGCCTAAAAGGAAAGCTGAAAGGGTAATCTGTAATTGGCTCTTGTCAGAAATATAATAGGTAATATTAAATTCACTGAATTAGACTAAAGGTTCCCTTCTCAAAGATATAATGCTTGTTTGTTACGCTCTTCATACTTCCAAGTCACTTTTGTATAAATTGGCATGTATGTGAGGTACAGTAGGTGGGAGAAACAGTATTATGCTCATTAAATGTGAGAAAACTGAAGCACAGAGATAGTAACTTGCCCAAAGTGGAATAAGTTAGTGACAAATTTATCACCCAGATTTTCTGACTCCCAGCCCACTGCTTCTCACTATATCTTATCTAAGTCTAACTTGGCTGCTTATTGCAGCCCAGACCTATATGTGAACCTCAGAATGCCTGCCTCAGAAGCCCTGGGGTTGTTACGCAAGTGCAGGTCCCTCCCCCCATCTCTGGCAATAGAATCAGAATCTCAGGGTATGAGGCCCAGGAATCTGCACATATCAGCATTCCAGAAGATTATAATGTTCATAGAAGTTTGCTACATGTTTAATGCGACTCACTTAAGAAAGGAAAGGAGAAAGATTTCCCTTCCCTGTCACTAAGCTGTAATGTTAATGTCCTTATGGAGAAAATGCTTATATTATCTATATTATCTTTAGTAACAGATCGATTTAGTAACAAGTCATCCTATTAAGTTTTCTTCTAAATGAATTTATTGTTGGATTTGTGTGCAGACCTCTTCAGGCTATAGAAGTATATCCTTGATCTTTTGCCAGAGAAAATGAGGTGACGTGACAGCCTTGCATTATCACTACCATTAGAATTCACTTGATCCTTTTGCCCTGGCCAGAGCAGTGATTGTATCATCTAGCCAGAGGCCTGGGCCAGCCAGCGGGCAGGCTGCTGGCTTGTCTGAATGTGACCTGTTCTGTTGCCATGGAATTGTTTTAGCTATGACTCAGATGGCAGATTAAAACACTTGAGTTCAGTCCCAGCATTCTTTCTTGGAATTATACTTGTTTCCCTAGAGCCCTTATGACTGAGTGTGCTACCTCTGTCCAAGAGAGAACCATTTTCTTCAGAAATTCATATCCTGACATTCTGTTATTTTTCATACTTGTTATTTCTTCTACCAACATAGTCCTGTCTTTCAAATTTAATTTAACCTTTTTAGAATATATTCTAGATGAAGTTGTTTTTCTTATACCCTCTTCTCTCCATTCCAAACACTATTTCCTGCTTTCTCTTTTTCAACATTTTATTATGAAAATGGCAGATGTGCAGAAAAATTGAAAGAACAGTACATCCCTGACCAGGTGGCTCAGTTGGTTGCAACATCAGCTTGTACACCAAATGGTTGCAGGTTTGATTCCCCTTCAAGGCACATACCTAGGTTGTGGGTTCCTTCCCCGGTCAGGGCACATACGGGAGGCAACCAATCGATGTTTCTCTCTCCTCCTTCCCCTCTCTCTAAAATCAATAAAAGCATATCCTTGGGTGAGGATTAAAACAAAACAAAACAGTACAATGAACACCCACATACCTTACATATATACAGGGATGGCCAAATTAGGTTTACGGTTGTAATACAAATAAATCATACAATAATTATTAAATACTAATACAAGATTAAACTCCGTGTCGAGTACTCACAACTGTAAACTTACTTTTGCCCTGTATATATAGAGCTTTTTTTTTTTTTTTTTT